CACAGATAAATTACCTTTCTAACGGTGAAAAAATTTTTAAAATCGGCAAAGTAGTTTTAGAGTCATTTCAATACATACAAATACAAATCTTTTCTCTTTATAATATCAGTGTAGATTTATATCGAAAGCAGTGAGATACATATCTAAGGTAACATAGCATTGTATATTATACGGTGTGAAAATGCACTAAAATACACCGATATTGAGTACCATAAACCGTACAATGTTTACCAACTTTACAGGTCAATATTTGCACGGATTATGTTGAACATAAAGCTGCGGTTACATGCAACTCTCGAACATGTTTGTTTTACAATGTGATTCGAATTTACAGTTTATATAGTTTAACATTGTTGACTAGCTTTCGCTCTTGACTACGCGTGGAATTAAAAAAACAAAAGTAGCCTATGTGTTCTTCCAGATTATCCTCTACATATATGCCAAATTTTATCGAGATCCATTCAGTAGTTTAGGCTACAAACTGTAACACACATCCATCCATCTAAACTTTTGCATTTATGTTATTAGTAAGACTAACTGTTCCCGTGCGGCTTCATCCGCATTGAATTACAAAAATATTTTTTATTGTTTACGTTTGTCAAATTCTCAATTGCAAATGTCAAAATTACCGTTACCATAATAACCTTGCTTCCTCAATTTTGGTAGTTTGTAATTTATGGTCCCTTCCTACAGGAAGGTTTTTTATTTTCAATTTATTTACCCCCTAAGTTTAATAGCGTGAAAATATATAGCCTAAAGCGTGTCATAAGTGTAGGGCTATAATTATAATAAGAATTATTCAAAAATATGCTGTGATTGCTGACATCTTAGGCAACAAAGAAGTGTACGCTTTATTATATTAGTATAAGTATGATGGTTGGTCTGAAAATACTAAACTGTAATTCAAACCATTTTTAAAGTGTGAAACTACAACGGAAAGTAACAAATGATGTCGATTTAGAAGGGAACGTTTCGAGGATATTTCATTCAGACATTATCTTATCCGCCGAGAGATGGCGCTGGGAGTTCTGGAACGGATTGAAGCGTTCATTGAAACTCAATTACCGGACAATTCCCCCGAGTGTTTTACAATCTTACGATACTCAGAAACTGTTCTTAGAAGCGAAGGTAACAATTCACGTTTTAGAATAACCAAGTAAATTCTATAACTCACATGAAACATAATTATAAACAAGCAAATCGGCCAAATCGTTTTTACGCGAATCGTATACATACAAAAATGCAAATCTTTCCTCTTTATTATATTGGTATAGATAGAATAGAATCTTACTAATATAAATGCCAAAATTTAGATGGATGTTTGTAGCCTAAACAGCTGACCAGATCTTAATGATTGGCATACATGTATGGATAGTGTGGGACTGGAGGAACACATAGGCTGCTTACTTTTTTTTAATTAAAGCTAGTGTGAACCTAAACTAACAGCAATGTGATGTCATTTTAGACTCTAAAAGGTTTAATATAAACACTAGTCTTTGCTTGTACTAATATTATGAGGAAAGATTTGGATTTTGGAAGTTTGTATGTATTTAATTCACATAAAAACTACTGGGCCGATTTTAAAAATTATTTCACCATTAGAAAGGTAATTTATCTGTGAGTAACATACGCTAGCTAACATTATTTTAATTTTTAATTTCGAGGCGAAGTCGCGAGCAACAGCTAGTGTTTTATATTTTTGACCGACTTGCCAAAAGAAGGAGGTACTCAATTCGTCAGTACGTTTTTTATGTGTGTTACGGCATAACTCCGCCGCTAGTGGACCGATTTTGATAATTCTTTTTTTATCCGAAAGCTAATGCTTGCAGGTGGGTTCCATTATTTTTGTTTGATTTTTGGAGTTATTTTTAATGTTTTCTATATAGTTTTACTTAATTGAAATTATGTAAAGTGTAAGTAATTAATTAACTTTCCGCACAAGTTGATTGTATGGATATGAAATTCCTCCTACGCCTTTATTTGCATAAGATTATGTTAAAACTTAACCGAATTTGAATTTCCACATGACTGTACTTCCGTATTTCGGGGAGAAAATCAGTCATGATTCAATTTAATTAATTTCCTTGATTTTATCAAGTAAACCAAGAAATCGTAACGTTAATGATGCGTATACTTTTATACAGATGTTAAATTCGTGATAGACCCTCTGAACCTAATTTGTCGACTCTAATGTCAGTTTGTATTGTTAGTGACTGTCAAGTTACAAAGCTAGCAAATCAGGAGTGTCACAGATCTGAGAACTGAAGTAAACCAATGGGACACGTTTTCATACAAACTAAAATTTCTTTCTTCTAATCATATTCCTATTATTTACTTTTGCAAGAATGTTAAATAAAACATTTTTTGTTGTAACTAGATAACATTTTAATAAAAAGTAACAAATTAATAAGTATAGTGACTAAAAGTAAAACAAAAACTTGACTGAAAGCAATAATGGTGATATAGCGCCATCTGTTGCCTTCAATTAAAAACAAAGATTTTTATTACATAAAACTAAATGAATAATACTTCAGTGTCAGGGTTTTAAACATTATGAATATTAAGTTGGTACACAAATTTGAAACCAAAGAATTGTGGTTTGTCAGTCACGAACTGCGCAGTTTGCAAGATTCCCACGTCACCTAATGGGCACTTCTAGGAACAGTGCCAACAAGATAATGTATTATATTCAAGTAAAGTTATGTACTTATACTTAGGTGAATATTTCACATTAAAATAAATTAACTTAACTTTGTATTGATATTATGTACGTTTTTTATGTTTATTCAACATGTGGGTGTTCTTGTGAATGTTTGATAAAATGACATAATTATTACATGTATTTAATGAATAAATAAATAAATAACAAATCTCGTAAATAAGTATTTTAGTCTAGATGTAACAATGATCAATTCCTTTTAGTATAAACTAGCTTTCGCCTGCGACTCCATCTGCGTGGAATTAAATAAAATAAAAGTAAGTAGCCTATGTATTCTTCCAGACTGTCCTCTAAACCTACGACAAATTTTATCGAAATCCGGACATCCGTTTAAGCTACAAACTCTAACAAACATCCATCTATCCATCTAAACTTTCGCATATATAATATTAGTTAGATTGGCAAGCGAGCACGTAGAAACCTAGATTTGCTTATAAAGCCAGATGGATTATTGCCCAATTACTCGTACAAATGCGTTGTCTACCTTAAAAAGACAATTGAAGGCAGACAAACATGATATTCCCCTATTTATGCATCCCTTCTCTCATCAAAACGTACTTAAAACGGAACTAAGGTAAAAAAAATCCTAATGAGATTTAATTTGACATAATAAACTCGCACTGGACCTGCTTTCTTGACTATGTTTGCTAACTTGCTTAGGCTCGAAACCCCTCAGTGGGGATATATAAAGCGGCTACTAAATGCGGGCGCAAACCTTTGACTATAGCATAACTGTTTTGCGATTGTCGATTGTTTCGCAGCGAATTCAACTGTTTACAACTAAAAATCGAGTAGTGTAACCTTCATATAAGCTCTTAGGAATACGAGACTAAACAGTTAACACAAAGATTGCGCTCTTGTGCCGCCATTTACCTAGTACGCCAAACATTCGCTTCGATACACGAAGTGGTTTTATGCCGCATCCATTTTCTTCAATTTGTAGCTGTTTCGATGCGAAATGATTGATGGCACACTTAGCGTGATATAAACTATCAGCGTGTTATGTTGCGTGTATTTGTAGAAATCCTTACTTAAAATGTATACTATAATTCAATTACTCAGTTTCACTTTTGTAAAAGGTTTTAAAAAACGTAAAAAGCCTTAGAGCGCCCACTTTTGGCTAAATACTCTCGCTTTGATTCCTATGCGCTTATTAAAGTTGGACACTACTCAATTTTTAGTTGTAAAAAGTTGAATTGGCTGCGAAACAATCGACAATCGACTCGGATATTTTGTCCTTATATTTCTTTTGACAAATGTTTTAAAGCACTGACTTCAAACACGTGATTGCAACTCAATGTCTCAAAGAAATCGTGACTCGTGTGTTTACAATTTAACAATTGACATTGGTTGCCAATTCACGAGTAATCGACATATAACTTTTACTAGCTATTGCTAGCGACTATGTCCACGTGAAATGATAAAAATAATAAATTATTTATTTACTGTTACTCACTAATAACGTCGCTTTTTAATGGTGTAAGAATTTTTGAAATAGGACCAGTAGTTTTTGAGTTATTTTAATACATACAAAAATACAAATCTTTCCTCTTTATAATATTTGTATAGATAAGCTGTACAATCATTAATCATAGTATTGTAACAATGCAACAATAGATGGCGTTGACGACGACGACGATTGACCTTGACTACATTAACGACCTTGGAGATTTGTAAAGGATTTATTTCATTCGAAAACTATCAAAGCTGACGAATAAATTATCTTCGAAGTTCAAGGTCATGTTAATCATTCATTTTTATTACAAAAGGGGAAAACCAACACTGATGTGATCATTTTTATTATTATTATTTCTTTTAATAATTGTTTATTATGTAAATTTAGTTTGATTTAAATACGCTAAGCACTACAGCAAAAATAAAACTTCCGTTTATATAAAAAATCGATTTAATTAAAAAATTAACGTTAAACTAAACGAAAAAGAGTTGTAATTTAGATAATAATCTAGATAATTATTTACACTGGTACAATCGGGGAAACTTGCGGTGTTCCATCTTAAAAACAAAAATCAATACAACGCAGCTTATAAATGTGTCTGTACCAAAAAAAGTCGACTAATTTATTTTTAGTATTATTCCTTCGTTTGAACTCACTGCTATCTATTTTTTTTATAACATAATGTGGCAAACGAGCAAGCGGCCACCTGAATCTATCGAAATGGAAAGTGACCGCTGCCCATAAACATCCGCAATTGCAGATGCGTCGCCTACCTTTCATTGACGGAGGAGACGCACATAAAGAGGACATTTCCCCTTCCTATGCGTCTCCTCCACCGTCCAATCCACCTTTCTTTCCCATCCTTTATTCTGAAGAAAAGGGTGGAAAGGGAAAGAAACTAAAATAAGGCAGTGCAGGTTAACTAAGACCTAATTAGTTATTTTTAAGAGACGGAGTCTGTTTCGTTAGGTAAACAAGGCATTTTCCCTGAAGTGGAACATCGCAAATTTCCACGAATGTATGTGAATAATAAAATAACTTAATAATCTGTCGCTTTTATTGTTGCGTTTGAATCCAGTTCATGTACTGAAGCAGATCTGTGTAGAAAACTCCATTGTTATAACAAAAACCTTTCTTACTGGGATCACCAGTTCTCAATCCGCGGACGCACCAAGTGTCTTCAGGTGATCTCGTAACGAAGAGACTCCCGTAACTTGGGCATACAGTTACATCTGAAATTAAATAAATAGTTACTTAAAACAATATTTATTTTCTTATCCAGATTATATATATATTATAAAATGGTCTTCTCACTCAATCATTAGTTTAAATTATTCACATCATCATCACCAGCTCACTATACGTCCCCACTATAAGGTAATTTAAAGCCTAATTTGAGTCCCTTTCTCTTGCCACCCTTTTCTTTTAAGGAGAGGATGGGAAGGAAAAGTGGATTTGACGGTGAAGGAGTTGCATAGAAAGGGGAAATATCCACTTTATATGCTTCTCCTCCTCGGTCGAATAAGGGTAGGCAACGCATCTGCAACTGTGGATGTCTGGGCAGCAGTCGCTTCGCCATTTTGGGGGATTCAGGTGGCCGATTGCTTGTTTACCACCTTATGTTATAAAAAAAAAAGTCTATGTGTGTTTCTAAACTATTCTGTACATCTATGACATTCATCGAGAGCTCAGCAGTAAACTATCGCATTTATAATATTAGTAAGATACTTACCATTATTATAATTGGCACAAAATATATTCTCAGAATGTGCGTCACTGTCACAATCTTTGCTTTTCTGTTTATCGAATGGTACAACTGATAGTTCTCCACTTATAGCCCAGCCCGTTGTCTGAAATCGATTGTTTCAATAATTAGTATTTAAATTTTTATTAGTTATGTTACTTATGAGTGTGGTGAGTACACCAATGGGTAGAGGTCAACGTAGATAGAGATGGATTGAAAGGTGACATGATCAAGGAAGTGACTGAGATGACGGATAGAGTTATCTAGAGGACGAGAACCCGTTGCGACGACCCTACGGGAGTAGGATAAGGTAACGGAGATGGTATTACTTGTTACTTATTGAACCCTTTTCAGTTAAACATACGCCAGACATGTGCAATCAGATTTACCTGAATGGTTCATCAATAAAAATAAGAATTTATTTATTGCACACCACATTATCAGCCAGTGTTGCCTTGACTTGGACTGTTAAGAAACCAAGGATTTCCCTTACAAAATCATACACACGTATTTCGTATGAAACAAGAGAATTAACAGATATTAGATTTATGTAATCAAATAAATTACTTACAACGATGTCTAAATTTTCTTCAATAAAATCTTCCAATCTATCCTCGGTCAATAAACAAGCCGGCATCACCGCGCTGTCGTATTCAACGCGATGTTCCAATTCTAAAAGTGCGATATCATTTTCAGCTTCTTTGCCGTTCCTTTTGAATTCTGGATGTACTTTAATTTGAACTATCTGTCAAATGAGAAGACCTTTATTAGTTATACTAGCTTTGGCCCGCGACTCCGTCCGCGTGGAGTTAAAAAAAAACAAAAGTAAGTAGCCTATGTGTTCTTCCAGACTATCCTCTACATTTATGCCAAATTTCATCGAGATCCGTTCAGCAGTTTAGGCTACAAACGCTAACAAACATCCATCCATCGAAACTTTCGCATCTAGTTATAATATTAGTAAGAAGTAACATTACTTCTAGATACTTAAATGGTTTGGATACATTTAAGTTTGCCAATCTAAAACCGCACACAAAACTGGTAGTAATTACCAATTAACATTTAATATAATAATAATAATATAATAATAATTTATTTAATTCATGTAACAGAATATTACACATCTGATATTTACGATATTGATATTTGATATTAAGTCACATCTAATAAGGTAATCAAAATTACTACAATTTAAAGAGATAGGTCAGATAATAACTACCACAAAAAATTATAAATCACTAAGCTGTCCTTACACAGTACGTAATCTACATATATCTATAGCAATATTATAAAGAGGAAAAATTTTCATTTTTGTATGTATTGAAATAACTCAAAAACTACTGAGCCGATTTTAATAATTCTTTCACCGTTAGAAAGGTAATTTATCTGTGAGTGACATAGGCTATTTTTATTTGTTTTTGATATCACGCGGGCGAAGACACGATCAACAGCTAGTCTGACATACATCTCTATCAGCTGCTATATCTGAATTTCCTAAGCATATCCTCTTTTACAATAAATCTGTACTTTATCCTGCTTGTACCACAAATATTGAAAAAATAATTAAATATGAAGTCTTTCGACTAACATCAGGTAATATTGGGTGATTTATGACATTTTCTTGTAGGCGTGGTACTTAGGTATTTCAACAAAATAGTTGTCTTGATAGTTGGTGTAGTCGTAATCCTCAATATCACAATTCATATTTCCACTAAATAATTATAGATCGTAACGATATGTTTCGATTAAGATATTAAATTGACGTCCACCGAACACATGGTTGCGTACGTACGTACTCCATTACAACTCAAATGTCAAAATGGCCGCCCTAGCAGTGCTCGGTGTTCGCCATGGGCATAGAGTAAGCCTACAAATATTTTATAGTCGTGCGTGAAAGGTGACATGATCTAAAAGGGAGTGATAACTGAGAAGACGTATGATAGAGTTATTTGGAGGACAAAAGACTGTTGCGCCGACCCTACGGGAGTAGCTAGGGAGGATCATGATGATGATGATGACTCGTAATATTAAAGTTTAAATTAATGATGTTACCTTAAGAACTTTTTCTTTATCACCCATCATCAGTAAAGATCTCTTGCCTAATATAATAATCACGTGATCCGCGTTTACTGTCGTACCATTGATGTTCACGCATTGAGCGGCTGGAAATGTTAAAATATAACTTATTTAAGTATATTTATACGCAATAACATTATATTATTGTTTTTCAATTTAGTTTTAAATAAAGATTTCTGTATTCAAAATAAAATTAAACTATTTAGTATGAAGATTGAGAACAGCGCCATCTAGTTTTAGTAATTACATTAAGTCTGAATTTTTAAAACGAAATTTTAAAAATTCTTTCACCAATAGCTTTGTTATTAAATAATAATTTAGTTTCTGTGCTTATGTGTGTCGCTGTTAATTGTTAAACAAACTGTTCCCATGGGGCATCCACATAAACTTTATTTTATTGTTTACATTTGTCAAATTTCAATTGCAAATGTCAAAATTCAAATGAACAAATGACAAGGACGATTTTTTATATTGGATAACAATTACCGTTACCATGACAACCTTGCTTCATTTATGTTGTCAGCTTGTAGTTTTTGTCCCTTACCCGCATGTTTTTCCCAAATTATTTACTCCCTAAGTTCAATAGTGTGAAAATATACAGCCTTAAGCATGTCCTAAGTGTGGGGCTTTTTATGAATAAAATAGTTATTCAAAAATATGCTGTATTTGTTGACACCCTACGTAACTAAGTGTGTGTTTACGCTTTATTATATTAGTATAGAAGTATAGGTACTCACATGTAAGTATGGTCTTTTCGTTAAGCATTACTCCATCGCAGTAATAATCGAACTGGTCACTTGTCCCATTCTTCAAGAATATTGTAGCAATCCATGGGAACACCGTACTTCTGATATCGTTGGTGAAATTGAAGTTACACTGGTCGCTTTGCTGGAAACAAACATTATAGTTTTAAAAACAAAATAAAATTAATGAAAGCCAATTTTTTTATTTACATTATTAGGTGGCAAACGAGCAAGCTGCCACCTGAAACCGCTAAAACGGCGAAACGACTGCACATAGTCCCTTTTCCTTCCCATCCTTTTTTTTATAAGAAAAAGAGTGGGAAGGAAAAGGGACTAAAGTTGGTCCAAGATTTTTCAAAGCCGTCTGTAGTTACTCTGGTTAAATGAAAGAAAGATGGATAGAACATTAAGAGCGGGCGCACACCTTTGACTAAATTATCGCACAACTGTAGTACGATTGTCGATTGTTTCGCAGCCAATTCATATGTTTAGTTGCACAACTAAAAATCCTTTTTCCCTTTTAAAAGGTTTGCTCGCTCTAGCTTGCCCACACCTTTGACTAAACTATCCCACAACTGTTTAGTCGCGCATTGATTCCTATGAGCTGATATGGAGGTACGCACACTAGTCTTTTTTTATATAGATATATAGATTCTATAAATACTTGTCTATACATTTAGCAACCATGAATACCGATAAGCGGAATAAATCTCTGCAGTTTATTTCAGGATTTTCACAAGTAAACAAAAATGTTGGTTGCAACCAAATTATTTTCAGTTAAAAGCAATTTATTTTAACAATAACTCACCGTTGTTTTTTTACAAATTCAGCGGTTCAAAATGAAAATACGAGTACAGTTAGTTTCAGAGATATTTTTATGAAAAAATATAGGAATGAGATTTTTTTATATCGCTTTAATATTCCAATAAGAACTTATTTATTTAAAATTTCAGTCTGCGTGGAATTAAAAAAACAACAGTGTGTAGTTTATGTGTTCTTCCAGACTATTCTCTACATCTATACCAAACATCGAAATCCGTTTAGTCGTTTAGGTTACAAATTCTAACAAACATCTATCGATCTAAACTTTCACATTTACAATATGGGCCTGTCCCACCAAATTGTAAATTGTCTTATAACAATCTAACGTGTAAAATATGACGAAAATATGGCATTTTGTTCCCTTATCTGACGGTGATGGCATTTTTAAGCTAAGTCTATCAATCAGTGGTGGGACAAGCTCTGAGTATGAAGTATGATTTCTTGTAAAATTAATAAAATCAGAATATTAACATAAAATGCATCACTCGTAATAAAACAACGCATTTGTTTTAAATAAACATTACTCATATAAACATTTCGTCTGTTTGTTTTGAAATATGCGTGTCATCTATTGCCTATTACTAAACATTGGTAACTCAATAGGTTTATAACTAGTTTTTGCACGCGACTTCGTAAGCAAGAGATTTTAAAAAATTTTGGTTATTAGATGTGTTTTTCCAGTTTTTTTTTTTACTAATATTATAAAGAGGAAAGATTTGCATGTATTGAAATAAATCAAAATCTACTCTGCTTATTTTTAAAATTCTTTCACCATTAGAAAGGTAATTTATTTGTAACATAGGCTGTATTTTTTAAATTGTCGCGGGCGAAGTCGCGAGCAACAGTTAGTTTGTGATAAAGAACGAGATCCTTTAAGCTATATACGTAACAAACATAAGTTCCTATTCCAAAGTTAATCTCTTTGTTTGAAATGAATCACTAGTTTTTTTGTCGTTATAATTATGAGAATACGTAATTCATAAACACGTTGACTTCCGGTTAGGAAGAATGCATGCAAACAAATAATTGCCTTACCTTGAATTCTCGTAGATCAAGCATTTCCGTGGAACGTAGATGTTTGAAATAAATTGTTCTAATTAATTAAGAATATATTAAAGAGTTTTAATTTGTTTTAATCTTATATTTATAATCATTACTTTAAAAGGTTAGAGTGGTATGGACATGTTATGAGAAGGGATGAATCGCATGTAACAAGACGGACGTTAGTTATGAATGTCGAGGTACACCGGTAGAGGTAGACATAGAAAGAAATGGATGGATTGCGTGAAAGGTGACATGGTCAAGAAGGGAGTGATGACTGAGATGACGGATGATAGAGTTATGTGGAGGACAAAAACCCGGTGCGCCGACCCTACGGGAGAAGGATAATTCAGGGGAGATGATGATGATGATTTATATTTAATACTTTATTTATAATATTTTTAATATTCAATAGCTTTCGCTCGCGACACCATTCGCGTGGAATTAAAAATGTGAGTAGCCTAGTGTTCTTCCGGACTATCCTCTACATCCATACCAAATTTCGTCGAATTCCGTTCAGCCGTTTAGGCTACAAACTCTAACAAACATCCATCCATCAAAACTTTCATGCTGCATTTATAATATTAGTATGGTTTGTTTGGTTAACAAAAACTATTGAATTTAATATCCTAACCATGGATTTGTTCATTGAGTTGCTGATTTTTAAAAAGATTGATAGTTATGTGTTAATAATAAATAAAAAAAATTCAGATTTATCCTACCAACAATTTTGAAGATTACTGTATATATACTAAAATTATAAAGAGGAAAGATTTGTATTTCTGTATTTTATATCTATTGAAATAACTCAAAAACTACTGGGCTTATCGCGAAAATTCTTTACCTTTTAAAAAACTACGTTATCAGCGAGTTACATATTTTTTGCATCAATTAGTTATAAATCTTTTCTAAAGGATCCATAAAATTTGAAGGTTATAAAATATTTAGGGTATGTCCCACCAAATTTTAAATTGTCTGATAACCCAACGTGTAAAATATATCGGATTTTGGTACTCAATCTGACAGTGACGTTTTTAAACTATCTGTAACTACCAGCCAGTAGTGGGACAGGCGATTAAGATTATTAACTATAACTTACACATAGTTTGGAATCCATTTTATATGCGTCTTTTGACTTTTTCAAATAAGCCTTTTCAATTGGCATGTCGAGTATTTTGATCGGTTCGTTAGTCGTATCTTTATAGAAATCTATATAATCTACAGCTGGGTAATCACTTGAATTCGTATGATCATCGTAATAATCATCGATTTCATCACCAGTTGTGTTTGTACGTATCTTACTTTCTGGTTTATGTTTATTATGTCTGTTTTTAGTACGTTTATTTTCATTCGTATGCTTTACTAGACTTTGTATACTAGTTACCGCCTCTATATCTTTTTTATAATCGTAACTTTCTGTCGCGATTTCAGATACATGTATCGTAACTCGATTGTCTTTTCTCAAATGACCAGCACTGCCAACAAATTGATCCTCGACTTCCAAATTAAATAAAGTCAGTAACTGTCTTATAAAATTATTAATATTATTAGATGAGATTTCTATAGTTTTCGTCAAAGTTTTCGGTGCTTTATTATCGTTGTATTTCGTTTCTTTAACTACGATATCAAATTTATGATAACTAGCTATGAATTCTTTTAAAAAATCACTCAAACACTTGTAATGTTCGCGGCATTCGTTCTGCATCGCCATCGATTGCCACACGCATGAGATAACAAGGAAACTTTGTAACTTCATTATTCACTAGACTATTATTAAATATAAATGTAATTAAATGAAAGACGAATCACGTACGCTGTACTTAACTGACTGGATCGTTACGCTACAATCAAGCAACGCTTTAATGTTTAGTAAAAACATGGCTACGTTCACTGAATGCTTCACATTCGTTTAAATCTGTACGTATTGTGATGATATCACTGATTGTTCTTGTAGACGTTACCTTGAAGAGTTCGTGATGTTCTGATGTCGAGAAATATGCGTATATAATAGCTGTTGCCCGCGACTTCGTCCACGCAATCTTGCTAATATTATAAATGCGAAAGTTTAGATGAATGTTTGTTGGAGTTTGTAGCATAAACTGCTCAACCGACCTCGATGTAATTTAGCACAGATGTAGAGGATAGTCTGGAAGAACACATGGGGTATATACTTTTGTTAAAAAAAGGAGCCTATAATATGCCCCTCTATGTCAGTTATCCTTCAGTGAAAGTCCATCGAAATCGGTGTAGCTGTTTCGAAGATTACCCATAACAAACGCGGCTTGCGGACAGACATACAAACAAACAAAATAAATGCCATTTTAGCTATCAGCAACCCAAATAAATCTACTTAACGAAATGTGGAATTTTTCTTTTGATATTACAGACAGACATTCCATTTTTATTATATGTATAGATTCACAACAAAAAAACGTACTCAAGTTTTATATGAATGTAAACCATTTACTTGTAAACAACTAAGAAATATTTTATATTGTTTAATAAAACAATATGCATACTTACAACTTAACAATGTATTTAAACATATCCTGTAATTATTTGTAACTAGCTGGTGCCCGCGATTACGTCCGCATGGAAAAAATAACCCATTTGTTCTTTCAGACTTTACATTCTTTCACTATTAAAAAGCTACGTTATCAGTGAGTAACATAGGCTATATTTTTTATTATCTTTTTAATTCACGCAGGTGTAGTCGCGAGCAATAATAATTATAGCTACAGCCGAGTTGCCAACGCCTATTAACAAAGGAATTGCAGATGCCAGTTTTAAGTAGGAGGAAAACTCTTCTTGAAGGACTCTAACCCATACATGATCACGTTTTAGTATTCAATTCTATTTACGGCAACAGATTTTATTTAACTCATTGAAGGTCATTTTATATCGACAATATAATAATATAAAATGTAATTATTAATTCAAAGATATAATTTATTATTGAATTTAACAACAGTACCTGACATTGGTTTGTCCTTCGTTTAATATGTCCATTTGATAATGCCACATCTTTCTTGTCTAATCGATACTTGTCGGATTCTTCATTTGTATTTTTAAAATGATTTATAGCCGTTGTTTCATCTATAATAAACGTATAATCAATTACATTTACTTTCGGCAGCTCGTTGTAATCGTTAACGATTGGAATTTCCCGTTTATTTATTTTAGGGGAATCGAAATAATCAAATTCTTGATCAACGCCATCTATCGGTGATAGAGTGTAATCATAAACGTATGTCGATTGAAAATCTTCGGTTGTTATTTCTTCAAAATAAGTCAAGTTAAGTTCAGATATCTTCGATATTCTTGTTATAGTTATGTTTGCGTTCACATATCTATACAAATCAGGCCAATATCGTACACTATATAACACTGAAGCAATTATAAACAACACAACTAACATAATTAATAAGACCAAAAGTCTTATTATCAATTTTATTAAACTTTGATTTAATCTCATTGTGTTGCTTAAGTCAAAATCAAATTCAAACTAACTTATGTGTTGCAATTGTATGGGACCATTATGTTTGCCAAAAACAGCTACTAATAGCGTGCGTAAAACTTTAACTGTTGTACGATTGTCGATTGGTTTGCGGTTTACTGTTTAGTTGCACAACTAAAAATCGAGTTATATGCGCACTATAAGCACAGAGGAATCAAAGCGAGACAAAACAGTTGTGCGATAGTTTAGTTATACGTGTGCGCGTGCTTATGCGATTCCTATATGGTTACTATAATACTTCTAGCTTCTTAATGTGCCATTCTTCTATTGGTTACCGTCAGTTTCCACTGCCAAATGGCTGTCCAAAAACGTTTTATAATCTCTGTGAAATATAACCTCAAAGTGTACATATTTGCTCTGAAAACAATGATTTACTGGCTAGATAGGACTAAGGGCCTGTCCCACCTAATTGTGAATTGTCTGATAACATTCGAACGTGTAAAATATGTGATGGAAATATCGGATTTTATATTTCACTTTTCCTTCTCATCCTTTCCTCTTAAGAAAATGGTGGAAAGGGCAAGGGACTAAATTTTGGCCTCCGGCACCACACTCATCAGACGAAACGCAGAATTGTTTACACTTCACGCCTGTTTTCTGTGTGGTCGTGGTATTACACCGGGCGAACTGACCTATTCGTGCGAAGATGTTAAAGCGGGCTCCACCACTGTTAAAATGTGTAACTGTTAACTGATAGTACAGAATAATTAATATTCAAGGTTTATTACAAAAGATTATACAATACATTGTAATTAAGACTTGGTATCTATTCACGATACAAACATATCTAAAGTCAGATCTTGATAATTACAGGTGCCTTTTTTAGCTTTTTAATTTTGATGTATTCTGTATTTCTTAAAGGTTATTTAGTCTGTGCTATAAATCAATACCATTTATCTTTATTTATAAAAATGTAAACTTTGTATTCATGATCGAACGCTTTATTTAAATATTTGTCTCATAATTTTAAAATGTAAGAAATAATCGGACAGTAATCAGATGTCGGAAATAAAATTGTTGTATTGAACTGGGCTATACGACGGCCATATTGGTAATGGCCAACAGGGGGAGTGTTGATACATGGAAAAACGGTGTTATTGGTAAGGTTATTCCGTACAAATTGGAAGAAAACATAAGAGGTAAAGAAGACTATATTTTATTAAAGCAGAACATGGCTGTGACGGTACTAGGTAATTATCTACAACACCTATTAATTACAATTAGAGGGTTGATTATCTAATGACTAGCTGTTCCCGTGCGACTTCATCCGCATGAAATTATGAAAATTTTAATTTTATTGTTTACATGTGTCAAACAATCAGTTGCAAATGTCAAAATGACATGATGACAAACCATGGCAACCTTATTTCCTAATGTAGCTTGTAGTTTATGATCCCTTTCCCACATGAAGGTGTTTTCCAATTTATTTATCCCCTAAGTTTAACAGCGTAAATATATATAGCGTAAAGCGTGACGTAAGTGTAGGGCTTTTTATTTAAGAAAGAATTATTCAAAAATATGCTGTGATTGCTGACATCTTAGGTAACAAAGAAGTGTGTGTTTACACTTTATTGTATCAGTATAGATATAGATATATAGATATAAAAGTATAGATAGTATAGAAGTATAGATGACTTACCTCGTCTATTGTAAATATTTAAATGTATTGAGGAAATTCATTCCAGTCAAGTTGAGGAAAAATTTAAAAAAATCCTGAACATTCGTCATTGAGCAAAAACTCTTTTGTACAACTTTCGATTGACGTATTCGTTTTAAAAAAACTTTTCAAATAGAAAAAAACAATTCAAATGTTACAATGTAACAACAATCTTACTAACATTAATGCGAAAGTTAAGATGGATTGATGACATACGTATTTTTAGAACGCTTTAACAAATGTCGTCGGTTGACATAGGCTACTTAAGATTTTTTAAACGCGGACAGAATCGCAGGTGACTACTAGTTTAAAACACAGGTGTGAAGTTATCAATCCCCGTTATATTTCACGACTAAATATAAGGGCGGTCAAATTCTATTAGTTGCATATATTTTTATTAAAAACTAGCTGTTCCCGTGCGACTTCATCCGCATGAAATTATGATTTTTTTATGTTTTACATTTGTCAAATTATCGATAGCAAATGTCAAAATGACATGACATGACAAACCTTGACAGTCTTGCTTCCTTGATGTTGGCAACAACTTATGGTCTCTTTCTCACATTATGGTTTTTATCCAAAATATTTACCACCTAAGTTTAATGGCGTGCAAATAAATAGCCTAAAGCGTAACGTAAGTGTAGGGCTTTTAAATTCAAAAATATGCTGTAATTGCTGACATTTTAGGCAACAAAGAAGTGTGTGTTTACGCTTTATTATAATAGTATAGATATCATATACATCTAACAACTCTGTACCTAATTAGCACTAAAACACTAATGATTTTAACAAGAATATTAAAATTAAAACTTCCTTGTCTTATCGCAATTACTAGAATGATAAAAAAACAATGTTGTTCATCATCATCTCCCCTGCCTTATCCTACTCCCGTAGGGTCGGCGCACCGGGTTTTCGTCCTCCAAAGTACTCTATCGTCCGTCATCTCAGTCATCACTCCCTTCTTAATCATGTCACCTTTCACGTAATCCATCCATCTCTTTCTAGGTCTACCTCTGCCCGTGTACCCCTCCACATTCATAACTAACGTCCTCTTGTTACATGCGATTCATCCCTTCTCATAACATGCCCATACCACGCTAACCTTTTACTCCTTATTTTCTCAACCATTAGGGCTACTCTCAAACTTCACAAAAAAAAACAATGTTATAGTATTATAAAATTCTGTCCCATAAATAATATAGAAAAAGCAATTCCAATATTCATCTTTTCTAACATCCTAGTGCAATATCATAATAATGATATCTACAATTTTACGGTGACATAAACATAAAAAAGTTCATCTATTGTTTAGCAAGATCAAGGTTTTTTCTTTTCCTAAACTATGGAGTATAACTAAAAATTACATAACCTATGTATATTTAAATATATGCAAGTTTCTTTTATAACTTCAGAAAAGGAAGTACTTCGTGTCGTGTACAACGAATTAAAATAAAATTTGTTGCTGTTAGCAAAAAAACTCATTAATCAAACAAATTGTCGATAATTTCCCTGTCAGCATGTATTAGTAAAAGACATTATATTTTACAAATTTTGCTTAGTTGATTCTTAGAATTCAATAACAATAGTTCTATACAACTTTTATAACGAATGTTATAAAGTTTTCAATTTTTGGTTATATCAAACCACAAAATTAAAGTGACATGATCAAAAAATTCTAAAGTGATTGACGTAACAGTGATAAAACGATAAAGTGTTTAAAATGAAGAAAAGAACGTTTGGAAGTCATATATTTTTACTTTTAGGTAAGAATATCTTTTTGATTTAATCCATGGCTTTATGTTCGCCGAAAATAATCTATAAAATGGAAAATATTCAACATCCCTATTGGGTACTTACTTGGTAACAGAGAGTAATAATCAATCACTTACGAAATTATTCTCTTTTTCATATCATATAGTAAAATAAACTTTTCACAGTTTTGCAGAAAAGCTAAAATGCAAAATTTCACAACCCTGCATAAATTAATTAGCAAAGTTGCACATTCGAATTTTTAGTTGATTACATTATCTTATTAAAAATTCATATTTACAATTAAACTTGATATAGAAAAGTATTTGCTTTTTGGTGGACTTATACATACAAATAATGCGTAGTTAAATCTGTAAAAGATACAATTTTATTTATAAATTAAATCGAAATTTTTGTTTTTAAGTATTTTATTATAATGTTGTGGGTATTATAATTTCAGGTGTTGTCAAATGTGGCAATATTGAAAACAGTGAAGGCAGTAAAACAATAATTACACCATCTATCAAGAAGTATCCAACATTTCTAGATGTCTTAAAAGAAGATTTGTTAAACCAAGAATGGAATGAAAATGAGAAACCTTGTCATGATCAAATTATAAAGATTTTAACAAACGTCCAAAATTCTACATTATGGGCTACTTGGAGTAAGTAATCAAGAATTTTGTTTAAAGTTAAAAATATTTAGGTTATGTCCGATACTAAAACTACATTTAAATGTTACAGCGTCTTAAAAGACGCCTTAAAAGCATTAAAATCCATTGAAATTTTGACTTTCATTCCATTTCTTTCAGAATTCGGTTAGTTTTTTAACTAAAGAATATTAGAAAATTTAAAAGAAAGAAAAGGAAAACTTTCCGAATTCAAAATTTATTAACACACTCAATGCCTACAACTTTAATACGAAATTACAGCACGTAACGTGTTAATTTTTATATTTCAGTATGGGATAGTGTTCAGTTACCTTCCGGCCAGTTTTACGGCGCTCACAATCACTTCGGTAACTTCGACCAGTGCTTACGAAGAGTGTGGGCTGAAGACCCAATGCCTACGCAATATTGTCTAGTTGATCTCAAACTGGCTGATGCTGACAAACTAATGAGTGATGTACAAACTAGCCCTTATGATAAATCAGAAAGTTACTTTCATGTAAGTTAAAGTTGTCTTCATCTATACTTCTATACTATAATAATAAAGCGTAAACATACACTTCTTTGTTGCCTAACATGTCAGCAATTACAGCATATTTTTGAGTAATTCTTTTTTTAATAAAAAGCCCTACACTTACTTCACGCTTTACGCTAGATATTTTAACACCATTAAGCTTAGGGGGTAAATATTTTGGATAGAAACTCTAATGTGGGAAAGAGACCATAAGTTGCTGCCAACATCAAGGTTGTCATCATGTCATGTCATTTTGATATTAGAAATTGATAATATGACAAATGTAAACAATAAATTAAAATTTTCATAATTTCCTACGGATGAAGCCGCACGGGAACAGCTAGTAAATCTATATATACTTTGATATGTTTGGTTTATGTTCCCTTTCCCACATGAAGGGTTTTTTCCAATTTATTTACACCCTAAGTTTAATAGCGTTAAAATAGCCTAAAGTCGTAAGTGTAGGGCTTTTTATTAAAGAGAGAACTATTCAAAAATATACTGTGATCTTACACCATAAAGTAGTGTGTGTTTACGCTTTATTATATTAGTAATAGCTTTCGCCCGCGACTCCGTTCGAGTGCTAATAAAAAAACAAAAGTAAGTAGCCTATTTGTTCTTCTAGACTATCCTCTACATCTATACCAAATTTCATCGAAATCCGTTCAGCAGTTTAGGCTACAAACTCTAACAAACATCCATCCATCTAAACTTTCACATTTATAATATTAGTATAACAGATATGTATATTAACAGAATAAAACTCAAATTACTTAGTTCGGAAGGCAATTTCATTGAAGGTACATACGACAGGGAAATGGGAAACCGACTATAAGTCTAGATGGGTTTTTAAAAATTTGAATCATTCTTTTCTAATTTTGTTATTTTGACAATTATAATTTTATTTCCAGTTAAGAAATGAATACGGTTCAACATTCAATATCATGTCCTGGGGGATATGTATACCAGCGGTGTGCGAAGCCGCATCAATAAACAAGTTCATACGAACTTTGTATACATACAGTCATATCAGTACGATCAATTCTTACCCTGATATCAAGTCTCTACACTGTCAGCAGACAAGAGTTCCGCAAGGAAATAGCACCGGATTGTATTCTTTGATGTAAGTATTATTTGGTCTTAAAGTAATGCATCTGAGTGCAAATTTTACTAATCTTATAAGTGTGAATGTTTAGGATGGATGTTTGTTAGAGTTTGTAGCCGAAATTGATGAAAGGACATTGTTGATAGTTGGTATAAATGTAGAGGATAGTCCGGAAGAATACACAGGTTTCATCATTTAAAGCGGACGGAGTCGCAGGCGAAAGCTAGTTATAAATAAGACTTGTCTTAGAGCGCACACAACTGAAAATAAATTACCGCACAACTGTTTAGTCTCGTATTCCTATGAGCTTGTACGGAGGTATACAACTCGATTTTTAGTTGTGCAACCAAACAGTTTGCAGTGAAATAATCGACAACCGCACAACCGTTGTGCGATTTATCAAAGGTGTGCGCTCTTATTCTCGCTGATGTCCCGTTTGTGTCATTGCATACTTAGCGATAACGTAGATTTCAAATAAGCAAAGAATATTTGAAATCTATTGAATTTACCGGCATATTTAATGCAATCAATAAACATAATTAGCGTTTCCACTGGTGTTGCTGTCAATGGGAGCTAAAAATTTCCCCTTTATAATATTAGTATAGATATATTTTTACAATTTCAGGTTGTCTGCGGTATTTTTAATAATACTAGCGTCGGTCTGTACTTTCATAACAATGAAATATGAGGATTCTAAGACAAATCGCATAGGTAAGTAATATTCTAAGCAGTTTTGACTTCAGCCCTTTTAAGTTACACATGAGAATTGAAAAACGCTTTATAACTTGGTAGTTATGAAGATCTTCAGCGCATTTGACCTTAGAAAGAACGCAAGCGAGCTGATGTCGGTGAGCAAGGATGAGATCAGAGTGATGCACGGCATCCGATTCCTCACCGCCTTCCTGGTGGTGACCCTCCACGTCATGTTTATCAATATCATGGCTACTGCTGGCAATGGATTGGATATGAATGACGTGAGTATTTCCGTGTCTAATTTCAGTCACTTTCCCTTTCCATTCATTTCTGGTAAGGAAGGATGGGAAAGGAAAATGGATTTGACGGTGGACACGCGGAGTGATATCTTCTTTATGTGCGTCTCCTCCGTCGAGGGTAGACAACGCATTTGCAATTGCGGATGTCTGGGGACAACGGTCGTGTTTTCTTTTTGTGAATTCAGGTCGTTTGATCGATCGTTTGCTATTTTACATATTTAAAAAAGCAAATGAATATCAGTTTGATGTTAAAGTTACAATATCAGCCGTTATTTGAATTCACTCTCTTAAGGAACATCTTTCATTAACATTTAAAAAATATGTTGACGAGGTTTTCTCACCGGTACTATCTTAGAAAGGTACTATCTCATGTCATTTTACTAAATTATAATAATCACCATCTTTTGTTATAAAATAAACTAAACAGTGTCACAAAATGAATAAACATTTTAATATGATTTAGTGACATCTATCGGGCAATCGATGTAAATATATTAATGATTTTGGGGATTTAACAATAGATGGCGATAGTAATGATCCTTTGTCTCAAACAATTTTCTTCTATCGTACTTTACTTTTTCTTATGTACTCTTGTTATAAATTGAAATAAATCTTCCAGGATTTCAAGCGCTACGCTGGCTTCCTGTCACATTCCAGTGTTGTCGTGGACACTTACTTCATGATGTCTGGCCTTCTGTTGATGAGAAGCTTTAAGCCGGAGACTGGAAGATTGATCAGTCCTATCAAATTGATCATAAAACGATATTTCAGGTATGAAATATATAAGTTTGTGTATATTTGATTGTTTGTAGTCAGGAATACAAGGTCTTCTTTATCATGTAAATTGAGACAAAAGTTACGGAATGTAATAATCTTACTTGTTTTATTGTTTGTTGTTGATATAAATACTAGCAAGCGGACATACAGAGTTGCGTTTTGACTTTAAATAAATTTTTAACTTAAAATTCTGCTTGGCACGTGAGATACTAGAGTATTCTAGACAACATGCCAACTTATGTCACTAACTTATAAGTTGTAAGGCGATGGCTCCTATATACATTTTTTTTAATTAATACATTTAGAGCGCGCGCACACCTTAGACGAAACAATCAAGCAACTGTTTTGCGATTGTCGATTGTTTTGCTGCCAACTGTTTAAGCACAACTAAGCATCGAGTAATGCACCTTCATATAAGCTCATAGGAATCAAATCGAGACTAAACAGTTGTTCGATATTTTAGTCAAAGGTGTACGCGCTCTTAACGACGACGTAACACACGAGCATACGATAGTCAACCAAAATCCACAGTTCTTTCTAAAGTTACTTCTTTATACAGAAATTTATAAAGTTAATCTATATAAAGGAAACATTTGTAATTTTATAAATGTTGAAATAACTTAAAAACTACTGGACCAATTTCGAAAATTCTTTCACCATCAAAAAGCTACGTTTTCACTCAACATATATTTTTTATTATTATTTGATGTCACGCGGACAAGGTCGCGACCATCAACTAGTATAAAACAAGATGTGAACTGTACTTACTATAATTTAACATTTTATTTATTTGTGCAATTTCAGGTTAATTTGGGTATTTATAGTAATGATTCTTATCGTTGTGACCGCGACGCCGGCTCTGTACGGAGGGCCGCTGTGGTCGAAATACGCACAAGTGGAGCTGGACTCTTGTGAGAAGAATTGGTGGTTTGGCTTGCTCATGCTCGGGAATTACATCGACAAGGAACATATTGTAAGTATGTTTCCAAGAGCGGTTTTTTCCAAATTACTTACTACCTAAGTTCAATAGCGTGAAAATGTATAGCCTAAAGCATGTTGGAAGTGTAGGGGCTTATTAAAAAGAGTAATTCAAAAATATATCGTGACCACTGATATAACTAAGTAGTGTGTATTTACGCGTTATTATATTAGTAGATTACTAGTTGTTGTTTGTGACTTCGTCCGCGTGAAAGTAAAAAATACTAATAAATATAGCCTATCATATTCATTGATAAATTACCTAGAAAGGTAGTTAGAAAACGGTGAAAGAATTATTAAATTCGGACCAGTAGATTTTGAATTATTTTAATACATACAAAAATACAAATCTTTCCACTGTATAATATTTGTATTTTTGCATTTTTGTATGTATTTGATTCACGCAATAACTACTGGTCCAATTTGAAAAATTCTTTCACCATTAGAAAGGTACTTTATATGTGAGTAACACATGCTATATTTGTACATTATTTTTTAATTATACGCAGACAAAGTCACGAGCGACAGATATGTAGTATAAACTAACTTTGCCTGCGACTCCGTACGCGTAGAATTTAAAAAATAATAGTGAGTAGCTTATACTTTCTTTTAGACTGTTCTACGTCTATACCAAATGTCATCGAAATCCGTTCAGCCGTTGAGGCTACAAACTCTAACTTCCATCCATCTAAACTTTCGCATTTATTAGTAAGATATAGATAAAAAATCCGTTATTTTCAGTGCATGCAAATAACATGGTACATCCCGGCCGACTACCACATGGCGGTGGCCTGCACGCTGCTGTACTGGCTGTACCAGAAGAACAAGCGCGGCGGAGTCTGGCTGAGCGCGCTCGTGTCCGGCGCCGCGCTGCTGCTGCCCGCCCTATATACCTACTACTACAAACTGCCGGCTATCACTATATTCGATGTCGAGTAAGTATTTATCTATACTATTATAATAAAGCGTAAACACACACTTCTTTGTTGCCTAACATGTCAGCAATTACACCTTATTTTTGAATTATTATTATTTTAATAAAAAGCCCTACACTTGCATCACGCTTTAGGCTATATATTTTAAAGCCATTAATCTTAGGGGGTAAATATTTTGGATAAAAATCCTAATGTGGGAAAGACACCATTGCTGTCAACAAGGAAGCAAGATTGTCATCATTTTGACATTTGTAATTGATAGTTTGACAAATGGTAAAAAAATTTCATGCGGATGAAAACGCACGGGAACAGCTAGTTTATTAAAAAGTACACCAATAGATAAGTTAGGGAACAATCACATAAAAAATGAATTATAAAACACAAGAATGGTAACAAATCGAATTATAGGTATACAGCACTGATAGAGATAACAAAACATTATGGTTAGGTAACAGAAAATGTGGAACAAACAAAATAAGCATATGTATTTTTTATGGTCACATTCAGAGTCGCAGACATAGGACTAGATTTTAGTAATTTTTTTTTGTCTCTTATTTTGTTTGTTCTATTTGATCTACAAGTCCATCATAAGACCTGTCGTATTGTATGGATCTGAATGTTGGGCCACCAAAGTTGCGGATGAAAGGAGATTGCATGTGGCTGAGATGCGTATGTTAAGATGGATGTGTGGTGTGACAAGATTGGATAAAGTTAAGAATGTGTACATTAGTGGAAGTTTAAAAGTAGCGCCAATGGTGGAGAAATTGAGAAGCAAAAGGTTAGCGTGGTATAGACATGTTATGCGACGAAATGATGGGGACATAAACCAGAAAGTGTTGAGATTGAATGTGGATGGCTACAAAGGAAGAGGGAGACCGAAGAAAGTATGGATGGATTGTGTGAAAGAAGATATGCTTAAGAAAGGAGTGGATTCAGATATGACGGCTGATAGAGATGTATGGAAGAGCAGCACATTCTGTGCCGACCCTCCATAAGGGATAAGGGCAAGTGGATGATGATATTGTTTGTTCTATTTATAGCTTTGACACGTTTATGTGACACTCAAAGACATAAAAAATATATAAACGAGGCAAAATCTTGTTTAATGATACACTCTCTAAAAGATACTATATCAGTTGTCAAAATTACACTAAGCTTTTGTTAAATATTAACATTATTTTTGTATTTCATTAAATACTAACTGTTGCTAGCGACTTCGCCCGCGTGAAATTAAACAATCTAACCTATGTTACTCACAGATAAATTACCTTTCTAAAATTGAAAGATCATTTAAAATCGGTCCAGTAATTTTTGAGTTATTTCAATACTTACAAAAATACAAAATACAAATCTTTCCTCTTTATAATATTAAGTATAGACTGATAACAGTAGCAAATTTAGCTCTTATGTTACTCAGCGGTAATTTAGCTTTTTAATGGTGAAAGAATATTTGAAATCTATCCAGTAGTTATTGAACTATTTTAATACTCACAAAAATCTTTTCTCTTTATAATATTAGTATAGATTATTTAATGACATCTGTTGGCAATTAATTTAAACACAATTATATTGACATGTAGTTTTAAGGATCTATCGATAGATAGCGTTGGTTACAATTGTTTCAAATCAACTATGCCTCCTCTCTCTTCTCTTTAGTCTTTTACGATTAACAGCACGTTTCTAGCTATATTATAACGATATAAGGTTCAATATCGCGTAATAAACGATTTGTTTTTTTTCCAGGACAATAACAAATAGTCGTAAAGACATAACAGATTCTGCGATATACAGCTTCAGTCACCTGCGAGCGGCGCCCTACTTCGTGGGAGTGGTCGCTGGATACATTCTCTCCATTTACAAACCGTCTAATTACAGAAACATTATAAATATGGTAAGTTTAAAGTTGTATTTCTTGTATTATCTATATTATTATTTGTATGTTTGTTACCTATTTTCTTCTAAATTCATCATCATCACCAGCTCACTATACTTTCCGACTGAAGGGCTCGGAGTCTACCAAAAGTTTCTTTGAATTTCTTCGCCGATATTACAAATTATGAATTTCATCACGATGTTTTCCTTCACCGTAAGAACGTCGGCTAAATTATGTTCATATGAAAATCGAACATCACATTGGTACAGCGGGATTCGAACTCAGGACCTGTAGATTACAAGTCAAGTGCATGAGCCACTGAGCCATCGACGCTTCTAAATTACTGGACTTGTTTTTTTCAAACTTAAAAAGATTATTTTCCCATTTGTATGTGTCTCTTGCATCGTCAAATCCACTTTTCCTTCTCATACTTTCCTCTTAAGAAAGGGTGAAAAGGGAAAGGGAGTAAAATTAGGCCTCCGGCACCACACTCATCAGACTGTACGGAATTGGTCCCACTTCACGGCTGTCTTCTGTGTGGTGGTATTACTGGGGCGAGCCCTACAGTGCGATGTTAAATGTATTGTGTCTGTTTGTTTTTCAGAAATATTCAATTATTACTTTCATAACAATAATGGCGCTGTGTGTTGGTATTTTAATGCTGGGTCCCGCGTACCGCTTCCGGGAGTACAACGCGCTAGAGTCTGCGGTATTCGCCGCTACCAATAGATCTATCTGGGCAGCTCTTAATGCTGCTTTTATATTATTATGCGAATATGGAACATTACGTAAGTAATTCATTGGTAATCTTCTGTCTATATGTACTATCTTACTAATATTATAAATGCGAAAGTTTAGATGGATGTTTGTTAGAGTTTGTAGCATAAACGGCTGAACGGATCTCGATGAAATTTGGTATAAATGTAGGAGATAGTCTGGAAGAACACATAGGGTACTTGCTTTTTTTTTTAATTCCGCGCTGTCAAAACTGTAACGGGTGGTTCGATTTGGACGGGACTTTGGAAGATAGGTGGTAGAAAGAAGATGCACGCGGGAATATG